GCCAGCTCACAAGGCCATGACGCGGGCTTGCGGTTCCCTGTTTATCTGCCTCGCACATATGTGTCTCGGGAACATCTTGACCTGTTCGAGCCTCCTGATAGGGGACGGTGACGTGACGGTAACCCAAGGACACAGTTATTACTCTCCCCTCCTCACTTTTGAGTAATTTCCCGCAACTGTTAAAAAGATATATAAGGGGAACAAATCTGGCAATAAAGCGCGCACATGCTCCCTCCTGGATGAAGAACCTTGGTGTCCTGTGTATTTTTAACCCCGCCGTCCCTCGCTGGACTCGGCTCCGTTAGCCGGACGCGGCAGTCACCCATTCTTTTGCTCTTCCTCAGGGACGAGCAATTTCACTTACCTCCAAGCTTCAGAAGTTCCCCGTATGGGCCGCCAAATGCCTCAGCCTGGCTGGGCACAAATGCCGCAGTCTGGCTGGGCACACAATCACGAGCCACCACACAGCTTGTAGATTCAAACAGCAACTCTTTATTCCCGAACTCACACCAGCCGTCTACAATCACGTTCTGGGGAAATCCACGTTCTCTGCCCAAATCCCCCTCCACTGGGCTTCTATCTCCCAAAAAATTCTGTCTCAATCCCGTGAGAACTCAAGGGGAACTCAGGCAGCAGGATACGCCCTATTCCCAGCAGGAATAATCTTAAACCTGGAACGCCCTAAACCCGATTATCCTAAACCGGGAACACCCTAATCCGCCCTGATCCTTGAGCAAGGTCACATACATGCAATGTCACTGCAAAATGTCCTATTTCCACGAGTCCTTCCACTAAGCAACATGGGGTACGCTGGCAAGGAAATTGTCATACCTACTTGGCTAATGGCTCCCAGCACATGTGGGCACTTGCCCTGTTTTAATTCTGAGCTCCAGGAGAGCCATTTTATTTAAACAAAAGGATTTGCCCCTATCTATGCCAGAAGAGCTTCACATCTGAGTTTGGGGTCAAGTTCAAATAAAGTAATATCTCCCACTGATTAGGGCATTGATCTCTGATCACTGAAACCCTGGGCAGAGCAGAGATTCTCAGCCTTCTTTTACATTAGAATTACCTGGGGATCTTTAAACAATACTGATGCCTGGACTGCACTCTCAAAAAGTTGATTTCATTTGGATATATTTTAGATACAGTCTGGATATCCAGATTTTTTTTAAAAGCTCTTTGGCTATTTCTAATGTGTAACCAAAATTGAAAACCACTATGATAGGGAAAATGAGCTTTATGTTCCTGGAGTCCTAGCTGAAAATAATTTTAATATTAATTCTTTCTTTCTTTTTTTTTTTTTTGTTTTTGCAGAACTGGGTTGAACCTAGGGCTTTGTACTTGGGCTACATCCCCAGCCCTTAATATTAACTCTTTAAAAATTTTATTATACTTTTCACCATAAAAGGAATCTCAATTTTGCATTTCTACATGGCAAAAGAAACAAACAAAAATAACAGGAAAGAATACCTTGATTAGGGTTTCCCTGTGAATATAGTCAACTATAGTGTGTTAAGGTCTGTAAACAAGTCAGGATGGCGCCTGGCATTTTGCCAGAGGGAGTGGTTTGTGAAGTAACGCCAGCGAGCCCTGAGCCCTTAAGTGTGGAGATTCCTTATTGGTTGACTGATGTATCTAGTTTATGTTAATTAAGATAAGCTGTGTGTAATGTATATATACCCCTCCTGTCCTACAATAAACATCTCCCACTCCTGCTGTATCAATCTACACAAGTTGCTCTTCACCCCCTGGTTATTTTGCTGCAGCCGGACTGTGGCAGATGGTGGCCCGTCCGGGGAGCCCTGGGACACTCAGGGGTAAGTTGATGAGAAAAAGCTGCCCGTCCATAGATAGGACGGGAGCAAATCTGCTCGTCCCTAGGCAAATAGGGCGAAAGGAAAAATGGCCATTTCGAGAAAATGGAGAGGATTGATACAGTATGTTTGTGTCTTGTTTTGTCTCAGTGTATTGTATTGTCTTTATGATGAAAATATGGAAGGGGTGAGAAGTAAATTACAAAGGGAAGGAGGCACCCCAGTGGAACCAAGAATAGTTAGGGCATGTATTGATAAGAGCCCAGGAACTCTAGTCAGAAAGAAAAAGAAAGTTCAGAAGAAGAAGGATTATCAGGAAAAAAGTTGCAGCAAAAGGCTATTACTGAATACTTTTCATTACCAGAGGGTGTGTGAATCGGTATGGCGGCTGCCATGTGCGCGAGCCAGTCAAGGCACAGCAAGGGTTTTCAAGCGGCGGCAGCTGGCTCTTCCCTGCCCCCCCCCCTGCCCTGGGAGCAGGACGCCACTGCGAGAGCCCAAATCCAAACCTGACCCGGAGGCACAGTCTCACAGGCTCTTGCTCCCTGTGCCCGGTGGCAGTTTGAGTCCGGAACACTCCCTGGACTCTCCCCGGGCCATCTGGGGCTGCCCAGGATGCTGCAGGCAGAAGATGGCCCGCTTCCCTGAAGTTTGATCATTTCCAAGGGCAGTAACTACAATGGTTCTCCCACACCTGGAAGCTAATGAGTAATGAGCACTATTAAGGCCTATTTCAAATGTAAAAAACCTTGAGATAATGTACTAAATTGTTCAGAAGGTTGTTTTCTTAGTGCCTGCTGGAATACTACAGTATTTTCTTTAGCCATCAGGAGTTCCTGCCTTCATCCCAGTGCCAGTGAAGACAAAAATGGAAGAATTTCCAGTGTTACTGAGAACCTGACGAGACTAGCTGCCTGCAGAACTTACCTGGACTGTGATTTAAGCTAGCTGCCTGCAGAACTTACCTGGACTGTGATTTACCTGGACTGTGAGTTAATCTATTGAGACACTGCTTTACCTGGACTGAGACAACAAACTAATCTACAACAAAATTGTAACTCGGTATCTTTGCTAACGGTGTCATTGCTGGTATAATTTTTCCAAGGGCTTCTTGCATGGAGCCATCAATTGGCTTGGTATTGTGGCATTTTTTATCCTCCCCTTCTGCTTGTAGCAGGTTATTTAAGGTGTTTCTGTAAAAACCACTATGGTAGTTATTTAAATTAAACAAAAGGGGGAAATGTTAGGGTCTGTAAACAAGTCAGGATGGCGCCTGGCATTTTGCCAGAGGGAGTGGTTTGTGAAGTAACGCCAGGGAGCCATTAAGTATAGAGATTCCTTATTGGTTGACTGCTGTATCTAGTTTATGTTAATTAAGATAAGCTGTGTGTAATGTATATATACCCCTCCTGTCCTACAATAAACGGCTCCCACTCCTGATGTATCAGTCTTCACAAGTTCCTAGTCACCACCCCGGTTATTTTGCTGCAGCCGGACTGCAGTAATAGTGAAAACATTGCTAGTCTGCCTTCTTTTGTCAGCTAGCTATAAAAAATGTCAAGACATGATAAAACCCAGAATTCCCTAATATCTCAGCTATAGATAAAGTCAAATACAATGATACCTTTGGCTTTAAGTGCTTTCCTTAAAGAAATAAGAAAGTTTTAAACCATTATAGTTTTTTACCTTTGCATTTGTCTAGAGACCTATATGATGAGATTCATGGTTGAGAATAATTACACTTCATGAATTCTATTTCTTTGCTAGAAATAGGTAAATAAAATTAATAGCAAAAGTAAAAGTGAACTTTTAAACAAATGGACAGCTGATTTTTAACATTAGAGGAACAATGATTTTATTAAGTCTATAATAATCTGATATATTTACCCACGTTTTGTGGCTAGTTTGTCTAAGCTTTCTTCATAACAGTATGGTACATTTGGATTTTATGAAAATTAGACTGTCTTTTGTCAAACAGTGGAATTCTGTACTTCCGGATGATAATATTTATCTTAGAGTTAGGGTGCATGGCCTGGCTATATCTAAGCTACATTGTATATCTGATGTGACACTAAAGAGACTGTGTGCATGTGTTCAAAATTATGAGTCTGAACTGGGGGCCAATAATCCTTTAGGCAATCTGTGGACTTTGGAAGGTCAATGTACTCTCTGAAACTGTTCAATTTTGAGTGTATCTGTCTTGTTCTATTTTCCTTGGTGATGGACCATAACCTTTTTGAGAGTCTCAAGGAGTTTATAACTAAATAAACAACAAAAAATAATCCATTAGGATTCAGGGCTCCATATGTGGTCCCTTTTACTTCAATGTATTACTGTGAACAAGATATAGAAAAAGAAAAGAAAAAAATCTGCTTTGCACCTCAACCATGCTCTTCCCTATGCCAAGATTGCTCATGTTTATGTGATGTTTTGATATCCATTGTCTTAGCCAAAATTGATTTGCTATAAATGGGAATCAAAGGGACCAGTCAAGATTTCAACTTTTGTTTCTTTTGCCTCTATTTGCAGTTTAAAGAATGGGTATAGTTTTCTAATTGTAGGACAGAATGTAAATTTGACATTGTCCCATCTAATCCCTGTTCCTATACTTAATTAGGTGGTGTCCCTTTGAGGCTGCAAATCCTCACAGTAACTTAACTCTAGATATATCCAACATGGGAAAGTGTGGACTTTTTGAAATGATAATGTAAAGAGGAATGATTTATGAAAAAAATTACTTTAAGTAGCAAATTTACTTAACTTTAAAATTTATTCCACATACAAAAGTTAATTGTAATTCTTTTTCAGGAATATAAGGGAATATTGTTATCTTCTAGGTGACATTTAACCCCATTATGGGAGGAATGGGACTTTTGGCAAAATAATATTTTAAGATAAAATTTACCATTGCCTTTTTGAGATATTAGAGTAGGACAATTGTGTAATTAAAATTTCCCCTAGTCTGAGAAATGGGATGTTTATAATTTTTTATTATCAAGACTGTTTCCAAAGTATATGGTCAGATATAGTGGTTTTCATGAGGATTTAAAGATTGACACTAATCTTTGTACATATTTAAATATGAGGGTGAAATATATTTTGTAAGCTTCAATGTAATTATAATGATTTAACTTCGAGAAAGTTAGTCTGCATTTGCATAAGAAAAAGAGACTATTTAAACAATTTATAATTGAAAAAATCTTTAATTTGAATTTTGTCTAAATTCAGAATAATCCTTTTCATGTTACAGATATAGAAATATCTATGAACCTTTAAAATTACTGATGTCATTCTTAAATCTAAATGGCCAGGAACTATCTGAAAATTAGTTTGTATTTAACTATGATTGTCTAATTGGTTGGTTGATTCATAGAGATGGGTCAGATAGAGATGGAAACATCTTATCCCTCTTGTAAAAAGATTCTAGTGAACTTAATAATAATGATATTGTACATGAGCTCCTGATTTCTTATGTACTTAATAACAAAGACAGGTAAAGATTTCTCTAGTCCTGTGAAAGGAATCAAAAGTGCTTTGTTACATGCTAATGATTTTTCAAAATGTTTTAAAATGTGATTAATTTTCTCAATTGTAGATACGTCTGCAGTAGCAAAAATAAAAGCAAATTATTTCAAGTCATCTCTTTGCAAATTAAAAACAAATATGATTGATTACAAGACTCAGAAATTGAATATTATTTCTTCTTGAGGAAGAAAAATAAGAGTACCACTGTAGGTGACATTTATCCTCCCCTATGGAAGAATGGGGTTTCAAAAAATTATTACAATGGTGTTTTAATCCACATTAAATTTATCTAAGATTTTCATACTGTTGCCACTTTGAGATTTTTGATAGCGAAATGTTCAGAAAACATTCCCATTGCTGCCTTGAAATAGACTTGTGTAGTAAAAACTGACATTTAGCTTTCAGAGATTGGAAAGAGACTCTGACCCTTTATATTTTTAAAAACAATCTGTATTGTTTATTTAATTCCAAGTATTTTTTTTTTAATTGCTATCCTACCACTTCCCCTGGTCTTGGCTGCTATATTGGTCCATTCTTTAAAACAACATACACAGTCTAGCAAGGCACATGTCAGCTAGGCTTTAGATTGGAGCTAACCCTGGAAAATGTTTGTTCAAACAACCCTGTCTTCAGTCTTTCCTTCTGAGGTGAAGCTTTTGAGAAAGCAATGAGAAAATAAATCAAGTGGGAGATTGGGATCTGCCTGAGTCCTATCACTCCCACGGTGTATGAATGGCATGGATGGGGGTGTTAGTACAGCCTTCAGGTAGTAGCTATTGATGTTCCTTCAAAGAGCTTCCTAAGGTTAGAGTCCTTGGGGGCACTGGGACCTGGCCTTGCTAGTGGTAGCCAAAAAGGGCCGCGAGGCTCAGTTGGTCATCACTGGGTGAGGAAGGGTCAGGGTCACTGTAGATCTGAGTCAGGGCTAAGCTTAGGATTTCTTTCTTCTCTTTATAAAACCGTAGTTCTTGTCCGGCTTTCCTGGCTTCCTCCAACTGCCTCAGGGCCATTCGCAGCTCTTGAGAGAGAATTCCTGGTGACTCCCGCTCCTTCATGATCCAGTCCAGTGCCATGTGGCTGCGCATCTTTTCATCTAGTGAATACTGGGAATAATAGGAGATGACTTCCTGGGAACCAAGAAACCAAAGTTCAGAGTGTCAGTAGAGGGCCACAGAAGCACGGTGCTCAAGGCCTCCCTCCCCCTCCACCCCAGTCTTGGGCTTCACCAACAACCAAATTTCTCTGATATCCAGAGATGAAAACCAAATCTCCTGGACATACTTTTAAAAAGGAAATGATGAGCTAATTTTGGTCCAGCCGAACAAGTCACTCAGGTCTGCCTCAAAATACTATTAGGTAGGAAGGACAATAATGTTCACAAAATAAAGCCCTTACATCTCTAAAAAACACAAGCCTTCTTTTGAAAAATATATTCCTAGAAAAATTGGTATGAATATTGCCTCATTCTTTCACTGGAAACTTCTGCCCAGCATCATCTCCTTTGACAAGATAGAGTGAAACACCTTTTGCAGAAAATAGGAAGTGTTTATTCAAGGGAGCTTCAGAACAAGACTTGTTGGAAGCCAGGAGAGTCAGCCTCCTAGCTGCTGTGCTATTCACATAAGGAAAATAACAGTCTAGATAGGTCATGGTAACTACAGAGAGGATGTTAAAAATGTATTATGGAATGTAGACATTATCATTATTGACAGGATAATGATAGCTTCGTGGTATATTGTCTCTTGCTTTGGAAATGATTAAAAATTAGCCACTACCTTCAATCCTTTTTAAAAAAAATTTTTTTAGTTGTACACTATACCTTTATTTTGTTTATTTGTTTTTATGTGGTGCTGAGGATTGAACCCAGGGCCTCATACATGCTAGGTGAGTGCTCTACTGCTGAGCCACAACCCCAGCCTCTACCTTCAATTCTTCTGTTAAAAAAATTGTTAATACATCCTACTGTCATGTATAGGTTTGATTGGAGTAGATGCATTGCTTATTTTTATTTTCAAAAACATATGGTATTTATTTATGACCTTAACAAATTAAAAACAATCATGGAAAAGTGTTTATAACCAACCCAGCATATTTCAAAGGCCTCTTACAAAATCAAAGGAAAGAGGGAAAAAAAATAGCCAAAGCCATTGTCAGCTACTCATTTCTTTTCCATTTTTGACATTTTGAAAACCAGGCTTTCTAAGCAAAGAACAACAGAAAACTCCTGGGGCTGCAGTGCACAGGAAAACTTTCACATTCAGCCTCCACTTGCTGACTATAGAGGCTTTGTTCCTCATACAAATTCCTGTTAGGAAATACTCAAAAATAAACTGCCGTCTTTCAAATTCTGATGGTGGGTAAAGAAAGGATAAATCTCCCAGAGGCCAGCAAGTGAAGACCATTAATATACAGGAGAGGGTTTACATTTGCTTTTAACAAGGGGGAAAGGGTGCTTCTCATAAGTAGTGAAGAAGGAGTAAGACCCTGTCTCTGAAAAAGGAAGAACTGCCAAAAAACTGAGGTGATTGAATGCCAGCTTGTCCAACTTTACAATTCGTTCTGTAGTCCACTGGGAACTTTTAGTGGGTGGGGGTGGGGATACCCTAACCACAACCACCTTTGCCTTTTGGCAGTGAGAATGTTCCAGACAGTGAGTCTCAACATCTTTCTGCACTGGAGGTTGTGAAGGCACCAAGCCGGAGGAGATTCTGCATCTAACTCGGAGACCAAGTCTGTCAATGATGGCTGCATTTGACATTCAGTACAGGTATTTATATCAGTCCTAAGTCCAGCCAACATTCTTCATATATTCAGACTGTTTTATATATTTCTTCATGTGCCCTCTACTCTTGATAAATAATTACAAAATTTAAGTAGACAAATAATCTACATTAAGGAAGATGACAACCAGCCATCTGCTTTATCATACAGAGTAAACCTACTGAACAGTCTCACCTGTCGAGAACACTTTGTTTCACGAAGGGCTTTTAGACTTCCATTCCAGTGCAGTAGTTGGAAAATGGTCATCAGCTCCTATGAAATGGAACAGCTGTCATTAGTTGTGAAGCAGAAGTGTCCATCTGCAAGAGAGGACCAGGGCATAATTCTGATCCCCCAAAGTATCAGGGAAACATACAATATTGTCATAATACTTTGGGACTTTTCAAAGAGTAGAGTCCCCAGGCTCCTGGAGAATTCATCCTTCACGCCCTTTCTATATCTGTGTTTTCATAACACAGTAACTAAATAATTGACATGTATTTTTCAACAATGAAAAGTCATATGTGTTAGGTCAGTGGCGGCAACTTGGTGTCGACTTAGTGGCAACTTAGAACAAAGCAGCCCGCACCGGAAAAGAACATCAATCAGATGCTGGCGGAAATGCCTGTCAATCAGCCAGATCTCCTGACTAACGCCTGTCAATCAACAGGACACCCGCTGGCCAATCCTGGAGTTCAGCCAACTCCCCTGACCAACTCCAAGGGGGCAAGGGACCCTAGAAACACCTTTTCCTGTCCCAAGCCCTTCTCTTCCTGCTGTAAGCCCCATAAAAGTCCAGTCCTGTCAAGCTTCCACGCAGTTTCTCCTCAGACCCTTCCCCTGTCCCCTCTGTGGGTCTGATCGAGTTCCGCCTGGGAGTGATATCTCAATAAAGCCTGTTCAGCGGTCATTTTAAATCTGCCTCCTTTGGCCATTGCCTGCCCCGACTGATCTGACAATATGCTCTAATAATCATACACCCAAAACGTTTTATAAATATACCAGCACATCTGAGAAATAATGTAAAGGCAAGGTTAGATGTTGTATTTTTTTTTTGAAATTGTCAGAGATTGGGAGAATTTTAAATGTTCTTTTTTTTTTTCTTTTAAGAAATGTTTAAATAAAGTATGACAAATCCACACTACTGAATACTTCACATACAAAAAGGATGAGAACATTCTCTAAGTTCTAATGTAAAGAATTCCATGGTATATCATCAAAACAAAAGCAAAGTGCAAACAGGTGTAGTCTGTGCTACTATTTGTTAAAAAAAGAGGGGCTGCAGTTGTGCCTCAGTGGCAGAGGCACTTACCTAGCATGTGTGAGGCACTGAGTTTGATCCTCAGCATCACATTAAAAAAATAAGTAAATAAAGGTTAAAAAAAATGTACCTACTTAAAAAAAAAAGAATAAAAGCTCCCTCTGTACACATTAACATGTAACTGCCTGGAAGAGTTCTGTCAAAATACAAAAGAATCTGGTAATAAGGTCGGTGATGTAGTTCAGGTGGGAGAGGCTTATCATGTGTGTAAGGCCCTGAGATCATTCCTCAGAACCAAAATAATAATAGTAAAACAAACAAACAAACAAATAATCTGGTCGGGTATGGTGGCAGATACCTGTTATACCAATGACTGGGGAGGCTGAGGCAGGAGGAAGGCAAGTTTGAGACCAGTCTTAACAACTTAGCAAGAAATTGTCTTGAAGGAGAAGAAGAGGAAGAAGAAGGAGAGAGAGGAGAAAGAGGAAGAGGAGGAGAAGGTTAAGGGCTAGGAATATAGTGGTAAACATCCCTGGGTTCTATCCCAAGTACCAAAAACCAAATTGAAACAAAATTGGTAGCACTTGCTGTTTCTAGGGGTAAATGTATGCCTGAGAGGTGGGAGTGGGAGGGTTTCTTTCTTCTAATCTTTTAGAAAACCTTTTGAATTTTGAATCATGTAACCATGTTAACTTATTAAAGAAAAATAAATAAATTTTAAGAGTTTAAGCCCAAACTAAATATGTAAATATTATGAAATAAAATTTACAGGGGGCCACTAGTTTTGACTGAGCTCCTGCAGTGGGTCTAACAGACCAAACCAAAATGTAGTCACTCATGCTAATGTTCCATGTCATGGAGCTGAAGCTAAGTTGTTTTTCTGATCTTCCAAGAAACCAGAAGAAAGTGATAATAGCCAAGTTCCAGCTGTAGCTGGGATCCCAGCATGATAAGGAGGTCGTCCCTGCTTTAACCTTTAAGAGGAAATTAACTTTGAAACAACCAATCTATTTTTGGTTCTGTTTCTGCTTTCCTTAGCTGTTTTCTGCCTATAAATTCAAGCTTTGCTACTTAGCTCATCAGAATACGTATCCTATTTTATGGAATTCTTGCCCGATTCTAGGATTGCAAATAAAAGCCAACTAAATCTTTAAATTTTTTGTGACTTTATCTTATGACGATATAAAACAGACAATGGCCAAACTACAGAAAAACTGTAAACATCTCTAAATTTATAAATTCAGTCAAAAATGCCTCAAAATGCGGACAATCAAGTTGAATTGACATTAAAACATGTCAACACACACACACTAAAAAAATAAGTAAATAAAAATAAAAAAGAAAGAAAGAAAAGAAAAGAAAAAACAAGTCAACATTTCCACATCTGATGGCATTAAGTTCTACAGGAGCTCCATTTTCCCTTTCACTGTCTGATATCAAGGGCAAGCTAAGATGTAACAACATACTGAAGAGTATTATTTTCCTAATGTAATTAGAGCTAGAAGTTTTCCACCAGAGTTATCTGTGTTTCACTTATAGAGGGATTTTTATTTTTCTTTGTTTTCGCCAGAGAGATATCTTTTAAGATGAATAGCATAAAACACAGCCACATAATTATTGGAAAATTACTCAACACAATTTAAAAATTTCCTGTTCTTGAAAGGTTATGAAAAAGAACATTTAGACAGATGTCTTACTTATACAAAAAGCTGACATTTTTTTTGACTGTCTTTACCTCCGCCTACTCAGGAAAAAATTTTCATTAGGAAAACCAGGAGACACATACTTAGTCTTAGATTTCAGGCATCTTATTATTGTCTGGCAAATTTTAAAGCTATAAAACTATGGGAGGAGTAAGTAGCTCTATCTATTCTTACTTTAAATTTGCCATTACAATTTAGTGCTTCTCTTCTTTTCAGTCTGAGATCAAGTTTGGCTCTCTTTTCTGTTTTCCACTGAACAATAAGTATCTTGGGAGCCCAAAGAGCCATAGTAAAAGAAAAAAAAACTTTAGTTTCTATTAATAAAAATGCAATATGAATATCAAGCAAGTTTCTTGTTTCACTCCAGAGACCCCATTATCTTCCTGGGGTCCTGGGTCTAATATCCAGGGAAGCCACCCTTTCATGGCCTCCTCTCTCCTGGACACCATCTAGGTTTTCACACCATCGCATCAGTACACTAATATGGAAAAGTGGAAATGCTTCATTCCAGAACTCAAATCTTGCCTAATGAGGCTCTCACTGCTATGCTTCTCCATTTTTCCATCAAAGTAGCCTCAGTGACTCTGTGCTACCCTTCCCACCAAATCTACTCATAAATACTTTTTAACCATAAAAGTGAATGTAAACTGTGCATACTGTAATATGGAACAGGATCTATGATGCAATAGGAGGGCAGATATTTGTAAATAGAAAAACCCTTTTGGTTTCAAGTTTCATAAAGAATCTACTTGAGCATTGTGAATTTCCATTTTTTAAGAAGACAAATACCACCCCACTCCTCCACTTGACCCCCACACACTCCAAATCTTTATGTAAAGTTTTTTTTGGTGTGTGTGTGTGTGTGTGTGTGTGTGTGTGTGTGTGCACGCTACCAGAGATTGAGCACAGAGTCTTAAGCATGCCAGGCAAGATCTCTACACAGTTACACCCCAGCCCCTATCTAAAGTTGACAACTAAGAGATATACTAGATTTATTTTGTGGTTTCCAGTATCATCTTGGTATTGTCCTATCATCCCTATAGTCCAGTTGAGAAACAGACTGTTGCTAATAGGCATTTTGATTCATCCTCTGACAGTTGTTGCCTAAAAATATGTACTCTTCTTCCTCCAAGATCTTCTGGGCTCTCATACTTATCTAACCACTAAGGGCTGCCTCTTCCAGATGAGTTGAGGTCATTCCAATCTGCAAATCCCCAAAGATTCTAAAATCCACAACGACACTGTGAACAGAACTGGAAACCTTTCTCATGCCCCTTGACAACCTTCATCTCTCACAAACTTTCCCAAAGATGATTATACCATTTTGCCTCCAGATTCCTTCTCTGGTTCGTCTGAATCATGATCCCATCACCAGGCAGCTCTTTTTCACTTCAGTAACACAGCTGCCTCTTCAATGTTGCTCTGGTTGCTAAAATTCTCTAGGGAAAATGACCTCCTTTCACCCTCTTACACTATATCCTGACCTCAGAATGGTCCTCCTTTGTAGAGATAGTAATCTCATCATCATTATTCTTCCTGTCATATTTCCTCTCATGAGATGAAATTTACTATCTTCCTGATGCTGAGTGACAACATGCTCAGCCCCAAAAGATCCTTGCATGATTGCAGACTGACGGGGAGAGGGCTGCTGTGGACTTGTGAGAAATCTCTTCCTAGTCCCACCATGCTTCCTCGCTGCCTGATGCTTTCCATCTTGCTTTCTACCTGGAGAAGTCCTGTCACCCTAAAGGAAGTTAGTATTGTCCGTTCCACCAGATCCTGTCCTGCTCTTCCCTGAAGTCTTTTTTTTTTTATTTAGTTATACATGGACACAATCTTTGTTTTGTTTTTTTACTTTTATGGTGCTAAGGATTGAACCCAGTGTGCCTCACATGTGTGGGGCAAGCCACAACAGCAGCCCTTCCCTGGAGTCTTTTATGTCCTGGTGTTTGTTATATGGGATAATCTAGAAGCCCGGCAGCCTGGCTAGACTGACAGGACAATCAGAAGCTGGCCTCTTAGGGTGAGATAGGCGAAGAAATGTGTAAGCTGAGTGAGATGATTCATGCACACTTAGAGTCTTTTGTTTAAAATTTTGATCTTTTACTTATTAGGAGTTTTTTTTACATTCCTTTTGAGTTTTTAAAAGATTACACTATAACATTATCTACCTTGATCATTTTTAGTGTCTGTTACAATTTTGTGCCACAGACAAATGCCTCACTTACCTAACCCTAGTCAGGGCCCTTCTCATATGTCTGTCAGAAGGAAGCCCTGCTTCATGAGTGTGAGGTCTATGCAGTCACAGCGTTCAGCACATATTACAGTCTCAAACTTAACAAACTTTAACATGCTACAGTCTCAAACTTCTTAATAGTTTTAGAACAAAGACCCTTGCATTTTTATTTTGTCTTGGGCCCTGCAAATATCATAGCTGGGGTCATGGTTAGCAAAGAGAATTAAAGTTGAATGGAGAATAAATCCTGTGTTTTCTTTCCTCTTCAGGGAAAATTGCAGTTGCAGCTCTCAATAACAGCTTTCCTAGTTTATTTTTCATTCATTCCATTTAAACTGGCAACAAGCGGGCTCTGTGCTCACAGTTTTGCCTGGTGTTGCCTCCTATTAGACATGATGTTTGATTTTTCGGCTACTTTGTCGGGGAGAAAATGCTCACCCTTTCCCTCTGGAACTTTGTCTGAAAGACTGGCTTGGTTCTGTGATTCATCAGAAATAAGAAAAACAAACACTGTAAATGGAGAACTTGAAAAACAGGTGGGCACCATCTCCCCACCCAAGAGAATGGATTTAAGAGGAAATTTGTTTATGGGATGAGGTTTTAAAAGACGACCTGGAGAATTTAGCAAAGATGTAAATAAACAACTCTTCCATGGATTGCATTAGGCTTCAAAATAAATATATTAACCAGCTTCAGTCAATGTCTGCCTAGAATCTGACCTTGACAAGACCCAGCGACTATTGCTGCCCCATGCCCTCCCCACCCCCAATAGCAGGCAGTTTTCTCTGTGGCAAGGTTACCTTAAAACAAGCAGCCCTGACTTCCCTTGCTTCCCTCCCACGAAGTGAAGGTAAGCAGAGGCCTATCATGTTTCCTCTGAGCGCTGGCTGCAGCACGGGCCCCCTGAAAGCCCGAGGGCAGTCAGGAGACACCAACCTTGTTTTTCTATGGCATAGCCATCCATAGCTAGATAAAAACACATGTCTATGACCCACCAGGGGACTGAATTGCTTCGTCTCTGCAGAAACAGCCCAGGTCTAGAGTCAGTTCCCATTATGTGCAGACCCATGCTGATACATTTAGCCTAGGCCACTAAGGAACATTCTGGTCCCCAGCAGGTAGGCGGAAGGAAAAGGGATGTGCTCCACAGGTCCTCCTCCAGGGTTGCCAGACTCTCTCCTGTGGAGAGGGAGCTTGGATTTTTCCCTGTCCTCACATCTTCCTCTTCCTTTGTCCCCATCCTGTACCCAGTCTTTTTTATGGGAATTTATGAAGCATTTCCACAGTATGACTCAAATTATTATTTCACATATTAAAATGCCCTCTTACATAGACCACACAGAAAACACAGCCCAAAGCAAGGCAATAAAAATATTGCTAAAAGGAGGCTGAGTAAAGCCTTTCACAGTACTTGGAAGGAATTTTCAGATTTTTAAAAATCCTCACTTCCCCATCTTTGGCAAACTGACCCAATCACATTAAAAATCATTCTCGATTTTTCTGAAAATAGAGCCAGTAAATCACATGGAAGGTATTGTGTAGTGGGGCAGGAAATGTTCATTTTATAATAAAAGAAGTGCAATATTCTTTGATGGGGTGTAAAGGGAGGAATTTTTTAAAAAAACTTGTTTTCCTCCATGTGGGCAGTTCTATATTATGTGCTTTATAAATGTCACATTATTTAATCTATAGTAGGCATTAATGTTTCTCTTTTATAGATAAGAAAACTGAGTCTCGGAATGGGCAAGCTTCCAGATGGTAAGTGATAGGCTTCCCACACAGGACTATGTGATTTTAAAAAATGTGAATTCCTTCTCTTGAGCCATTCTTTTCCCTTTTAATTTTTTGTTTAGTTTTATGTTGTTATAAAAAAATGGACCTTCTGATGTTGCACCTTTTTATCCTGCAGCAGGGGCTCACAGTCATCTTGGCCATTCCACATCTGAAGCTTTAGGTTAGGCAGGGCTGTCAAGGGAATCCATCTAGCCACTCCTGGCATTTCAGTAAAGCAGTCCTCCAGAAAGACATAGAGTAACGTTGTTGACCCCCAGGAAGCACTTGCCACGTGCCAGACACTGTGCTGAACTCTTCCCCTAATGTCCCATTTGATTCTCACTTGGGCAGTGTGAGTTGGTGCTATTATTGTCCCTGACTTACACCCAGATGAAGGAACAGGTTGAGCAGCAAGGAACAGAGCAAGACTAAAACCAGTCAGCGCACCCCAGAGTCTGGGCTAGAACCAGAGCTAACTCATGCCCTTGCCTGCTCCACAGGGCTCCCTAGTCAGCAACACCATGTCCCCTAAAGGAGAAAATTAGATGACCAAGATCAAGGACAAAAGGAAGAAAGAGTATTTTTACTTCAGTCACAGGGGCAACTCATAAAGAAAATTATTGATTAAAAAAAAAAAACAGCAGGAGGGATGTGTACACACGAGACATGGCTACGCCATTGGTTGGAGAAAGATTTGAAATGTATGAAGAAGGTATTAGAAAGTTGATTGTTTCAGGCCTCAGCTGTAACACCCTGGTAAATTTTACCATGATGAAACTTTTTTTTTTTCACACTTTGTCCATGAAATTTTGTATTTCTGGTTGCTTCTTGGATCTAATTTTGTAATCTCTGGTTACTTCTTGGAATCTAACCTAAGAAAATAGAATTACTAGGGATAAAGTCTCCTGTTTGTAATATTATATATTGATTTCTAGCATCATTGCATGTTTTGAAATGTTCGACTACATTCAAGTTTCATTTTCTAGGGGGGTACATATTTCCTACCTGATCCCCACTGAATTTTCATTTGTCCATCCCAGTATCGTATAAGAGTCAGGCATGTGAGCTCAGAGATCAGACATCCTGGGTCTGAACCCTAGCTCTGCCATTTGCTAAGCTATGACAAACTTCTTTTCAGCAATAACATGAAGATAATAATAATAGCTACTTCATATAGTTGTTGCGAGAGTTGAATTACGATAACATTAGTTAAGTGCTAATCATCACATCAGATGAAGAAAGAATCTAATAAGCATTACTTATTAATACTATTTTCATTGTTGTTAACATAAGTGTTTATTTTGCAAATACAGATGCACCTTGACTTCCCACAGGGGTAATATCCTGAGAAGTGCATTGTAAGTTGAAAGTGCCATTGAGTCAAAAATGCAGTTAACCAACTGAACGTTATAGCTTACCTTAAACGTGCCTACCCTACTTTAAACATGCTCAAAACACAACCTACAGTTGTGCAAAATCATCTAATGCAAAGCCTATTTTATAATGAAGTATTGGATATGCAGTGTATTTTATTGAGTACTATACTGAAAGGAAAAAATAAAATGGTTGTTCAGGTATGCTTTTATACCATCGTAAAGCTGCAATGTCATAAAGAGGGGACCATCTGCAATAGGTAATGTAGCAAGCTCCTCAGCTCTGTTGTTGCTGGTCAGCAGTGGTCGGAAAACGGTAACAGATTGTTAACTTTTTTGATTTAGTTGATGATAGGAAGAGGCAGTTCTTATATAACAGAGATACTATAATTGAAGTGGTATCTTTCAGTGTACACTGTGGGAAACTTCCTCTATGGTGTCTGAAAATTATAAGCTAGATGGGTACAACCAGAATTTTAAATTTGATTTGGTTTAAGGGAAATTTTGTACTGAGAAGCTGGTGGGGTGTTACAGGGAAGTAAGACTGCCATGTTCCTTACCTACATATTAGACTTAAGTCTTTTACTTCCCTCCATAAAAGTGAAAATTTTGCCTTGTTTGCTTGTTTGTTTTAGTTCACTGAAGTGTGGCTAAAATGGGGCCATGGTGTTTGACTCGAGAAAGGGAAAATTAAACAAAAATAGTTATTTTTTTTTCAGTCAGTACTAGGGATCAAACTCAGGGTACTTCAACACTGAGCTATATTCCCAGTCCTTTGTTATATTATTTTGAGTCAGGATCTCACTAACTTTCCAAGGCTGACCTTGAATTTGAGATCCTCCTGCCTCAGCATCATGAGTTGTTGTGATTACAGGCATGTACCACTGCCCCCAGCTGAGAACTAGGTTATTAGAATAGGAGATGTTAATGATGAGAGTTGCATCTCTCCCAGGCTTCTGGATAGAATAATCAGGAAGTCAGGTACCTGAAACTCCAGCATCGTCTTCCCCATGTTTGACTCCAGCATATAGTGATAGGCTCCAATGCTTGTGCTCGGGTCATCTGCATCATCTAAAGTTCCCTTGGGAAGGAAAGGAGAAAAAGAAAATGTTACTTATTTGAGTGACCAGAGATCAGTCCTGTGGCCACACAGCAAGTTTACAATCAACTGTCACAGTTGATTTTGGATAAAATCCTTAATCTTACCCTAATTCAGAATAAAGAAGATTTTATAATCAACTTGAAACTAGCTTTTGATTCGAATGTTAACTAATTATACACTTGACAGAATAGTAATTCCAAAGCAGAATTTCCCATATCATTGCATAGGGTTTTAGTTGTTGGTGGTGTTAATGCTGGTGTGACTGCCCTTTGAGGTGACTTCATTGCTTTCTGAACTCTCAAAGCACTGACCTTGCTCTGATTTCACTGACAGCCTGGGCAAGATTATGTAACTGACATTGAAGAATTCTCCAACTGCATGGACCATTCACATTTTATTGCCATAATTCTTAGGGGGAGCTTTTATAATATGCTGGCATTTGGACTGGAGACATGGATCTTGGTTGATAGTTTTTCACTCTCGGGCCACTTAATCTTTAGGAAACAAGGTGGGTGAATGATGGGTAGAAATGAAATTCCCTTTCAGTGTGGTTGTGGGGAGTGGTGCTAAGAAGCTAACATAAGCTCTGGAATGGCATGCAGGCCTCCTTCAATATCCCATGGCCTGAATTCCAAGGAAGGTGGGCAATGGCGACCTTGTGAGGCTGAGCAAACAGCGACCAGCATCAGATAGCAGCAAATTTATAGCTTTTGAATGCAATAACATTAACACACTGCTGCTGAAATATTTATGTTGGCTTTTTAAATATCCCAGAGGAAATCCATGCAGAAGCCTGCAAGCCATATATATTCTTTTTCTTTAGAAATTTCCATGAAAAAATGATAAATTACATTTACACTGAGGGCCCTCCCTGCTCCTGAGTAAATTCCACACTTATATAAATCAGGCATCATTTTCCTAGCTTCTCTTCCTCAAAGGCACTTGAAATTTACAGAGCCGGAAAATAAAGGCTTCCTTTCATCCTTAGACCAGATATAGTGCAGAGCTCCCTGCCTTCTCCCTGGCAGGTCAATTGCTCTTCTTCCCTTTCCCCTTTCAAATATCTCCTCTATGTGATAAGAGCATTTGTGAGGGGGAAAGGACCATGATAGTCAGATGATGTCTCCTTCATAACAGCAGCTTTTACAGAAGGATAGCTTTCTAATCAGATTGAGGCAAACAAAAGGAAAACCTTAGATAGGGTTTATGCATGCTAATGCAAACCAAAGTTGGCTACTCCTTTGGTAATGCCAAATTCCTGCCTTCAAGCACACTCAAGAGAAACACCTGTCACAGGTGGGGGCCCAAGGCTTCCTCTGTGGCTTATAGTTTGGAGGTAATGGGGGTGAGGACCTCCAAATCATTCATGGGGCAATTAATAATTCAGTGCTGAATTGCTAAGAGAATGCCTTATTTAAATTTCTAAGGGTTTTTGCTCTTAAAGTACTTCATATTTAATTGTGTCCATCACAGAAATTTTCTAAGCTCTCTGAAAGAAATAAATTGATATTAAATATGATAATTATAACAGTTAATATGTATCAGGTTGACTGTTTAAATAGTGTTTTCTTAAAAATACAGATTATAGAGCCCCACATTGGCTGACTTTGACATAAATAAATAAATAAAGGTAGATGAAATTATCTACCTTAATGTAAAGTTTGATTAATTGTGACCAAGGAAATTAAGAATATTACAGAGCCATGCGTGGTGGTAATCTCAGTGACTTGGAGGACTGAGGCAGCAGGATCACAAGTTCAAGGCCAGCTTCAGCCATTAGCAAGACCCTGTCTCAAAATAAAAAGAGCTGGGAATATAGCTCATTTGTAAAGCAGTACCGGGCTCAATCTCCAGTACAAAAAAAAAAAGAATATTACTGGGATGTGGAGTGGAAAACCAGCTCCAATTTCACAATTTCTAATCCAAGTATTCTTTTTGCTAAAAAGTAATGATTCAGTGGGTAAAAATTTAACCCGTGCAATTTTTAAACTAAGAATCTGCTCACTTTAGCATCTCCCAAGATTCAAACGCCTCCTTGGTATTCTCAGTGAGGCCAGCTCATCCCTCCCCTGATGGTACTCACACTGGTGGAGGCCACCGCTTCCTGAACACTTTCCATAATGAATTCCTTGGTGATCCTTCGAGAAGGCAGTTCATTGAAGAGGGAGTTGATTAGGGCCACTTTTGCTGCATCCCGCCTGGCCTCAGCTCTACTTAAGCAGCACTTGAGAAGGGAAGGAGAAAAGCAGTCATTAAAGGATTCAGCAACTCACCATTTTATCCTTGCATCAGTGAATCTCTGGACATTTCTATTCATACACTCAATGTCTGCACCTGTTCTTCCATACCCATTGCTAATCTCCCTGAAGATCTTGCAGATTTTCCTTTAGTTGTAGAGCCCATGCAAATGTCTTGATTGTCTTGGATGGCTTTTGGTTGAATTGCAGAGTTACGCAATGTCTACTATGGATCAGAGGCTTTGCCTACTCTGTTAATAAGTCCTAATAAGAGAGTAATGGCTGCTATTGTGGGCTAGGTTATTTAAATTCATTACTAGGACCTTCCTTGAATCTCTATTTCAATGAAAAGAAGTAAGGAAAGAAGATTAACATGGAAACTGGAGTTTCTTGAACAATGATCAAAAACACAGGGTTCAGAGTCAGACTGCAGGGGTTGGAGTTCAAGCTCTAGCACATACTAGTTGTAAGACTTTGAACAAATTGACTAGTTTCTCTGTGTCTCCATTCCCCCTTTGTAAAATGGAAACAATAGCAGGATTGAAGTAAAAAATCAATTAAATAATACAGTTCAAATATTGAGACTACCTGGCACATGACAGCACTCTCCAAGAACAGGCCAGTCATATAGTCTTTTACATCTAGGCTCATGCAAAGGTGCTGCTGCCAATATCTTCTGTTTTTGCTTTTCCAGCATTTATTCCTCTTTTGTTCTAGAATCAGTTCTCCAATTTTCTTGAGGACTGCCTTTTCCCCTTTGCTCTTAGTTCATGCAGTTTGGGTTTGTAGTATTTTGGCTTTCCCATGGATAGACAACACAGACAGCCTATGATTAGTAACTCATTAAGACAAATGAGTTACTAATTCTAACCCGTGTGCCCAAATGTACTATTGCTTTCCATCCTCCTAGCCCAGCTTCCACATTGCTCACGTCGATTTGCCTACTATATCCTGCTTTTTTTTTTTATGTCCTCTTGTCTCTTTTTTTAACAGATAAAAATTCCTATTCTTCAAGTTCTGGCTTGATGTGTATCTGAGGTATCCAGAGATGGGTAAAGGCCTATAAAAATATGGACTCTGAATCCCATGGACCTGGGCCCCAGAGTGTGATGGCCTGAACCCAGGATTGTAGATTCTACAACTACTAGTACACAACAAGTCCCAGGAGGGGAAGCCAGGCCCCGGCCCTTGCCAGTGGGGTGGTCAGGTAGCCCTGCTCCTCTCAGTGACTTTGAGCTCTGGACCATCTGAACTTTGGGGGCTAATTTTCTCATCCAAGTCTCCTACTTCCTAAAATGTAAGATTCTCAGAATTTGCTTGATAACTGGTATGGAAGAAGAAGGAAGATGCCAATAATCACATTCTTCCACAGTTTCACAGCCTAAAGGACCTGTACCACTCACAGAATTAAGCCAACTACCTTTAGTTTTTAAGCCCTTCTTCAATTCTACCCCATGCGCCCTATGTTAACCATCTCTGCCCTACCCAGGAACACTCAAAATATGTTCTCCAGAGGACTGCTTCTCCTCCCCATCTCCACAAACCCAGTTAGGGGCTTCTGAAATCAGGTTCCATGTCCTCTGTGATTTTCCCTCAAACGTCATAGAATAGTAGAAATGGTGTAGTGATCATGTAATTGACTACTGATCACTCTTCTCATCCTCTTTCCTAACCTCCAGACCTTGGCAGGGCCTAACCCAGGGTCAGTGTTTAGAGATGTTTGTTGTATGGTCAATGCATGGACGAAGTAAGTATAAAACCTCAAAAATGGCAGGACAAGACACTGAGGAGAATTAAAAAAATAAAATCTGAATGGGCCTAATAAAGTAGAATATTTAAGGGCAGGAGGAGCTACTTTAAATCACAATACAGAGTAATTTTCCATATGATCTTACTACATTTTGGATCTTAAATGCTGCCCCAAACCCACATATTGAAGGCTTGGTCCCCAGCCATGTGGGACCAAGCTACTCTTCTCTCTATGGTGAGCAACTTTCTTGTACCACAAACTCCTGTCATGATTTGCTGCCTCATCATAGGCCTAAAAGTCACAGAATCAACTATCCATGGACCAAAACCTCTGAAACCAGACCAAAATAATCTTTTTTTTCCTTTTCAGTTGGTTCTCTCAGGTATTTTGTCACAGTGATGGAAAACTAATACAACCATTTAAGGGAAAGAATAGAGTTGGAGTTCTAAAATATATGTGGAAAATAGTTTGGGTTTTCTCCTTGGTTTGAATGATAAGAAAAAAGACTTTGGATGTAGCTATAGGCAGCAAAGTCATTCAAAGTTTAGACCTCTTCCAAGGTTTAGGTCACCTATATAAAACCAGAGGGTTCCTGGTTTTACTTTGTCTTGTAGACTTTGCTGGAAATTTACAGAATGTTGGGTCCTGAGTCCGCAGTCCTTTACTGAACTCTGATGCCACCTTCCCTAGAAGTGTTTCCTGAGCACATTCAAGGCCAGGCTAAGAGGACCACTGACCATGACTGTACTGCAAGGTGATTGTTTGCTAGTGCTGTGCCTTCCTGCTTCACCTCCAGATTGTGAGTTCCCTCAGGGCAGAATCCATGTCTTAGCTGACTGTAAGTCCCCTGCCCCACTAGCACAGTGCTTTTGTGAATAACTGAATACAGCATAGGAAATTTTTTTTTTAAAGTTACTAGACCACCAAATATAATGTTCAAGAAATTCTTAAAGAAAAAATTATTTGAGAAAAGGGTCCCATTTCAATATACGTTGTGTGGTATGTGTAACCCAGTAATATAAAAATACATTAATACCTGGATTTCAGAGGGATAATTGGGTATTATGTTTAGACAGACTGATAGGACCATTTTTGCCTAAGTGCAGGATATGTTTATTATTCTTTGGAAAATCAGTTCCCCATTAAAAAGCAAACAAAGTTTTTGCAAGTATTACCTGACATCTGTAGCAGCAGCACATTTTAATAGCAATTTAGCTTTACAAAATCTACACTAGAGCTGTTGGGTTTTAGAATTTTGAGAATTAGATTCGGATTGGAGCACTCTTAGGAAACAAGTTTCTATCTAAATAATAGCAATTTAAGCCATTTTTCATAAAGAGAGAGCCCTAGTAAACACTACTTAGATTAAAAAAAAAAAAAGCTATCTATTTTAAATAAGACCAGCTAAGTACTAGATCAAAGGCACCACATTTACAACCAAATGGCACTGCTTCAGAGATCAAAGTGCAGCCAGGATGAGAGAACAGAAAGAGTCTTTACCCAGGATACATGGGAAAAGAGACTCAGCCAGTATCAGGATGTTAAGATGGACACTGTCTACTTATTTTCTTGTTTCAGTGTACAAAATCCTTCCTTAAAACAGGATAGAAAGTGTACCAATTGATAAGTGCATAAAATAAATTCTGAGCATCTTGGGGCTTTTCTTACTACTGTATTATACATTTCTGAAAGACACGTTCTTCAAAATGGCTATAATGTTAACCAGTCACTTTCTCCTACAAATCTAAGCCAGTAATTGTTGCATATTTTTCTTTAGGGTTTTTTTTAAGGGGAACTTTAGACCCATAAGAACCTGTACTTGGGAAAGAAATTCAGCAAAATAGAAATCTAGTGAGTCTATCTAAACCAGAGTGTGGATTCTGCTGGAAGAAGAATTCTGTTAGAGTTACCATCGAAGAGTGGGAAATGCTGTAAGAAAATAAAATATGGTAAGTGACAGGACATTTTATTGGTGTTCAAACTGGCCCTCAAAGACATCAGTTGGGGAGTGAGTGAAGTATGATGTTATTTCAATGTAACTTCCTGCTAGAATTAGACTTCCCAGGTTGCATAGTTTATTCTTGCTATTTTAAATACAGACCCCATCATAAATACAGATTAGTACACTGTGCCATTCTTACTTACATCCACTAGCCATTCTTACTTGTTAGTATAGACAGACAACGCCTGTCCCTTGCACTCTGTGAACGTGCAGAGCTAGAATATTTAACAGTGTAGATTTTACTGAAGTCAGCTGTGGATTTCTTAGGCATATGGAGCCACATGCTTTCCAAGTGGCCAGCAGACCTCACTCAGACATTATTTGTCTTGATGCTCAGATGCCTTTCATTTGCTGATAGATTGTAAACCATTAAAATCATTTCAAAGTCTTCTGACTAATCTAAAATTAAAGAAAAAAAAAGAATGACTTTAAATAGCTCAGGAAGCTATTTAAAGGCAGTAGTAGCCTGCCTGCAACATGCCCTCATGATCTTACCTCCTAGGGTTCACATTCTAGTGTATTCCTGCTCACACTGCACTGGGGGTGGTCTGTGAAACCAATGGAACATGGCAGAAGTGATGGGCTATCTCTTTCAATATTGGATTGTAAAAGACCGTGAGCTTCCATCTTGGTCCTGCTTGTTTTCTCTTTGATCACTGCTTTAGAAAAAAATCAGCTTCCCAGTTATGAGCAGGGACACATGACAGGGAATAAAAGCCTTCTGCCAATAGCACCTGAGAGAGATTGGAAGCTGGTCCTCCAGTCCCAATCAAGGCTTCAGATGAGTGCAGCTTCAGCTGACAAATGGACTGCAACCTTCCAAGACCCTGAGCCAGAATCGCCTAACTAAGCTGCCTTCAGATTCCTGGTCATCAGGGACTATATGAGACAGTTAATGTTTATAACTTTGAGACAATTTGTTATGCAGCAATAGATAACTATGGCAAAGGCTTGCTGACTGCCAGTAATTAGAAATTCTCTTAGCATACCCTTGAGGAAGAGCTCAATAACAATAATCCTCATTGCTGACACTATGTGCTTGGAACTGTGCTAAGCACTGCTGGGAGCCATTAGCCAAGTAGGTATGACAATTTCCTTGCCAGCGTACCCCATGTTGCTTAGTGGAAGGACTCGTGGAAATAGGACATTTTGCAGTGACATTGCATGTAGGTGACCTTGCTCAAGGACCAAGGCGGATCCGAGTTTAGGGCGTTCCGGTTTAGGTTCCAGGTTTA